CCCCGCCCCCCAGTCTCCAGGTATTTCCCAGCCTGGAGCTGGCAACCCTAAGTCCCACCTGGCTCCGCCCAGCCGGTCACGGGGCGGCAGTAACTCCAGAATCTGAAGCAGAATCGAGTCCGGGAGCGCGGAGAGAGATGGAGCCTCCATCCCCCCGCGCTTATTCCTCCCGCTCGGCGAAGGGAGCTCTTCGGTTGTACCGCCGACGGAGTGACAGTCTGTTGCTATGAGATCAAAGACTTCCGCTTCCGGCGTCACGCGCCACTTCCGCTTCTGCGCCGTTCTCCTCCCGTCCTGGCTCCTGAACCTGGGTGGAAACGAAGGCGTTTCGGGGCCGTTTTCCTTGAGGCAGCGCCCTTGGTAGGGGTAGGTGGCGGCTGCCGCTAGGGAGGCGAGGGGGCCCACGCCTGGTTCAATCCGGATTGGCTGATGCCCCTGTTTGCTGGGGGTTCCTTTGGTCTGGAGGGCGGGAGGGGGCTTATTTTGCTTGCACCGTTTACATCTCGCTTCCCCCCCCCCTTGTGGCTCAAAGAGGCTTACAAGTCACAATTTAAGCGGCAAAGCGAATTCGGTTAAGCAAAGAGACAGACAATAGGTCCATCCCTATTTAGCAGTCTCGCTCTTTTGAAATTGAAGGGGCCCATCCTGTTCCATCCCCCCACCAATGTTCCCTCTAAGCTGTGGAGTCTTGTGAGCAAAAATTCTACTTTGTGAGCTACTGGCATTAAAGTTGTGAGCAAACAATTTGGCTACTGCATCAATTAGTTTGCTCTGGAGCCCTCCTTCCTGAGCGAAGGCGAAAATGTGTGAGCCGGAGGCTAAAAAACTGTGAGCTAGCTCACACTAACTCAGCTTGGAGGGAACACTGCCCCCCACCCCCTTCCCCGGTTCTCCTTTTCTCCCTCGTCCTGATTTTAAAGAATATGTGCGTGCTTCTATGTGGGTGTATACACACGCACATACACATTGTTCGGGGTCCTGATAGACCAGTGGTTTTATTTTGTATAGGTCAGCTTCATGTGCGTCTCCTCCCTGAACATTATGTTGTCATTTTATTCGTTATGCCTTTGGGTAGGGACTGAAACCCTTGGGGGGCAGCGCATATGTTAAAACCGTCATGTTGTCTGAAAGGTGCTGGGGTGCCTCATCTTGATCGGATACTCTGCTGAATGTGGGTGGAGGTTTTTTGTAAATTACCCCGATCTCTTGCAGGATTAATTTTTGTTTTAAAAAACAGCAGACTGTCACAATCTGTTTACGACTGCTGCTCCTTCAGAATCTGTTTCAGGACAGGCTGTGATGCTGCAAGTGAACGCTGTGCATCAGTGGGCAATGTTAGCAACAGTGCTTGTATGAGATCCAGCGTCGGTGTAGCAGTTACAGTGTTGGATTGGGATCTGGGAGGCCCAGGTTCGAATCCTCACTCTGCCATGGGAGCCTGCTGGGTCACCTTGGCCAAGACACCCTCTCTCAGCATCTCCTACTTCACAGGGTGATTGTTGAGAGGAATGGAAAATGAAGTTGAAAGCCACTTTGGGGCCTCATTGAGAGGAAGAGCAGGGTAAAATATCTAAATCTGAAGTTCCTGGTTTTTAACGATGATTTTAACTTGTCTTGCAATGGCCTTTGGCAATATGGTTTGATTGATTAGCTAGCTAGATATTTGAACAGATATGTTACAAGTACCCAAATGCTGTTTTTCATTTTTGAATTGTTCCCCGGGGTGGGGTGGGGAGCAATACAGCCACACACGAGGTTGGTGCTGCTTGTAAAACGATGCAGTCCTTTCGCTTCTGTCTGTCTCTGCAACAGTCTAGTATTACATGCACTCTTTCAGAGAAGGCCACACCCTGTGGCAGTAATCCCAAACTTGCTTATTTGCAAATGACAATTGGTCTCTGGTCTAAGTCTCACTCTCTGAAACTTCCTTTAGGGTCACGCCACGTGGTCGCGTTGGGATTTGCATTCAGGTGTCCCAGAGACAAGTCCAGTGCTCAAGCCACCGCTCCACTAAAGCTGTCCAGGGTGCCTCCTGCAAGTGCTTTTAGAAATGAATTTGGGTTTAACAATCCAGTGTTCTGTTCCTAGCGGCTGGTGCGGTTTCAAACTGTCACATACTTATGGATGCAGTGCATGCATCCTGGCTTTTTTGCTGTTACGTTGCCAGCCAAATTGACAGCAATTAAGGAGTGATCAAACTGTGTTTGATTGATCTGAAAGGGAATTTGCCACCTTTCCGAAGAACCGGCTTGAGGCAGCTTCCAAAATCTTTAAAAAAGATAAAATCATAGAGCATGGCAACAATTTTAAATTAATTATGTAGTCTTGAGGTAGGGGGGCGGTCAGTGTTCCCTCTAAGCTGAGCTGGTGTGAGCTAGCTCACAGTTTTTTAGCCTCCAGCTCAGACATTTTTCTCTTAGCTCAGGAAGGAGGGCTCCAGAGCAAACTAATTTATGCAGTAGCCAAATCACTTGGTCACAACTTTGATGCCAGTAGCTCACAAAGTAGAGTTTTTGCTCACAGGACTCCACAGCTTAGCGGGAACACTGGCAGTAATTCCATCTAGCTCCCTTTGAGACCTTGTAAGTAAAGCAACTTCCATTCTCCCCATAAAGAGAAAATTCTATTGAGTGGAACTCCTGGCTTCTGTAGAGCTCTTAAATAGGTAGAACCCCTGCTGGTGCCCCAAAAGTTCCAGTTGCAAGCCTTCCTATGCCCCGGAGTCACAAAAATCTGTTTCTCTTCCTGTTCCTCTGTCTCAACAGCACCTCCAGTGTGGGGGAGGCCAGAGGTCCCATTCATCACAGCCTCTTGCGTCTGAGTCGGTGTTGGACGTTAGATCGGGATGATCGAAGTCGTTTGCAATGATCGGCTGGGCAAGAAAGTGCGCGTGAAGTGCAAGTATCCACCCTGCTGGAGTGCAGCTTCTGTCCACCCAGGAGAGGTGTCAGCCTGCCTGATGTCCAGCTGTTATAATTGATCTGTGGGGCTTCTGGCACTTGAGAAAGGGTAGCTGACTGGGGGAGGCATTTCCAGTGGGTATTGTTCACCTGGGAGGAGAGGAGAGCCAGAGGAATGCATTTCTGAGGGGGCAAAAGGCAACAGTCTTTCCATAGATCTGTCCACATCTATCCACAGATTTTTCCATTGGGCATCATAGATTTTAATGAACAGCCATTTGAGAGATGAATAGAATAGGTAAAGTTGCCAACCTCCAGATGGGGCCTGTAGATCTCACGGAATTACAACTGATCTCCAGATGAGAGATATCAGTTCTCCTGGAGGAAATGGCTGCTGGGTGGGGGGGGCTTTGTAGCATTATAACCTGTTGAGATCACTCCTGTACCTAAACCCTGCCCTCCCCAAGCTCTACTCCCAAATATTCAGGAATTTCCCAACACGGAGTTGGCAGCCGTAAGTATAAGAGAAATCACCATGCAATTCCAGAGGGTTTTTTTTTAAGTGTTGAGACTTCTCCATAGGGTTGACACATCCATCATACTGTTCTCTGTGTATGTGTGGGGTATCCTATGACCCTCTGGTAGGATTGCAAGAATGACCTGATGATACATCGGTGGGAAGCAGGGCCATATCCTGCACAGGGGGCCTTTGGGGGCGATGCCCCCCATGGATGATGCCCGCCCCACCGCTGACCTCCACCAAGACCCTGGGTGCTCCCTTACCCCCCACCCCTGGTTTCTGGCAGGGCAGCGGGTGGCCTCACTGGGTCTTCCTGCTCTCACAGCCGACTCAGGCAAGCTGTGAGAGCACAAAGTAGGAGAGAAGGGAATGTGGGCCCCTCTTCTTTTCCTAGTGCTGGGAAAAGGCTCCCCCCCCCCCGAGCCTTCTGTCACATCTCAATTGTTTGAGCCTTTGTGAGAGCAGCACAACCCACTTTCAGTTGTGGACCACAGTTTGAGAATGTCTGGATTAAGCTGAAGTCTTCACGGAGGACGTTGGAGAGTGAAGGGGGGGGAAGAGAGATGGCACCACAGAGGTGTTTTGGGGAGGCAATGACATCTTGGTTGGCTGTAAGAAATATAGGGTCCCCTTTGGGACACGTTTCCTTAACCGGTACCACTGCTCAGCCCCGATGACACCATTCGGGACCTGAAAAAACTCATCGCCGCCCAGACAGGCACTCGGTGGGACAAGATCGTGTTAAAGAAATGGTGAGTAGAGGGGAGAGAAGGACCTTCCTTGAAACACGGCAATCCTTGGCTCAAGGCAGAATCTCAAACACCAGGGAGGACCCAAAGGTAGTTCCGTAAATTCTAATCTCCCATAGTTTAGTGATACAGGACATGCTTTGACTATCACAGGATCCTGGTGACTCCATGTTGTGAGCGTTCATTGGGTTGCCACGCATGATTATAAACCAGAGGGCGGCAGTCACTGCTTGTTTAAATGTTTCTGAATGTTTTAATATTGGGATCTTATAGTTTTAACTGATTTGATAATACACTGAATTAACTGTTGTAAACTGCCTTGAGCCCCGCGTAAGCAGGGAAGGGCGGTTAATAAATCGAATGTAATAAATAAATAAATAATTAGTTTTAATATCCCTAAGAAAATCATCCTCCCTTTCTGTTGGACATTCTTGCAACCGCCAAGGTAGTTGAAAGTGCTTTAATGCCGTCGTCATTGTGTCGCCTTTTTTACTGAACCGTGTGCCAAATTTCGGCTGACTCGTGTTTTTTACAACGTTGTAGGTACACAATCTTCAAGGACCACGTGTCGCTGGCAGACTGTATCCTTAAACAAGCTGGATGGGATGGCAGTAAAGTGGCGAGGTGGTGGGGAAGAGGCGAGGGGCAGCCATTTGAAATGGGGCTGTAAGGGGGGAGGGAATTCAGCAGCTTTGGCCACTCTTAGGCGAGGTGTTTTATTTTATTTATTGTTTCAATTTATATCCCACCCTTCCCGTGAACGGCTCAGGGTGGATCACAACAATAAATGCAAACAATCTAAGGCTGTGGTCACACAGAGCATTAGCCACGCTACAGAGATGGAAGATAGGCGGATTTTCCGGGCACGATCATAGCGCCACATCTGGGAAGCGTAGAGCTCCCGTGGCGAACCCGAGGCTCCCCACCGAAGATGCGGGGTAAAAAACTGGTACCTCCAAGGTACTAGTTTCCAGAAACCGCGGGGCAAGGGCGGGCGCCTGATCGCGTTTCCGGTGGTAGGTCGTGGCATCCGGCGCCCGCCCATGTCCCGTCGCTAAAAGGTTTTTTTCCCCCAAGTCTCCACGGGATGCGCACAAGCACCCAACGATGCATGCGCACACTTCATTTAAAAACAAACAACACAGCCCTCTCCTCTTTTCCGTACCCCCCCCCACTCCTGGCTCGGCCTGCTCGAGAGGAACTCTCTGCACTGGGCGGCAGAGGGGGAGGTGCAAGGGGGGGGCATGGTGGGAGGGCAGCCCGGCTGAAGCTCCTCCTGGAGGGGACCGGAGGACACGTTGCATTCCTCTGCAGCCCTGGAAGGGGTTAAACCCGCGGAGCCTTTTGCTAGGGAGCCCGCTTCTTTGCCGCACCGCAGGATTGTCCTGTGATCGGCACCTCCCCCGTAACCACGGGACCTCTACGGGACGTCTGATCGCGCAGCCGTGCGCTATTTTGCTCCGGGGCAAACAGCCCCCCCCCCCGCATTTTCCTGCCCGTGTGACCGGGGCCATAGTTAATACAATAAAATAATGCGATAAAACCCATTTAAAATTTAAAATATTTAAAGTGGGCAGTGCAATGCAATTCATTCCCATTACTGCAGCTGGGAAAAATAAGTGGGCCAGTGCCAAGTCATGAAGGTCTCATGTAACAGTGGTAGGGAAAGACCTTTCTCTGCCTGAAGTCTTAGAAAAGTGCTGCCAGAACAGACCATAAAGATCTAGAGCGGGGATCCCCAAATTGGTGCCCGTAGGTGCTAGGGTGCCTGCCCTTTCCTGATGCCCGCCAAGTGTTTTTCAAAGGTGGGTGGATACAGGTGTGGCTTTTGCCCAGCAAGGCTTCTGATTGGCCATTGGTGGTGCAGAATTTTCTAAAATGTTGCTTTGGCGGCGGCCGCTGCCACCACAGGACAAAAATCTTCACTGTGTGACTGTGGCAATCATTTTGTGGCTGGCTTGCGCCTTCTGCAGTAGTCATTTTGTGGCAGCCATTTTGTGGTTGCGCCTACCGTGCCTGTCAGGATTCCAAAGATGCCGACAGGCTAAAAGGCTGGGGACTGCTGATCTAGAGGAATCAATATTTCGACTCCCTACGAAGTAGTTTCACAAGCAGACAGATATTTAATTTGAAGCCCAAATGATTATCATTCTGCCATTACAGTAAGACCCTTCCAAACACACACACCCTACCCTTTCCGTGGCCATTATACCTGACTATTTCCAGGGGGCATTTTCCTTAACTGCTTCCTTTCAGATGAAATTCACGACGGCATGAACCTGGAGTTATATTATCAGTAGCACGCGCTGAAACTTTTGTAAGGCAGATGCTACCTTTTTCTATTACTCTTTTTTGTTGTTTTATTTTTTAATTCATCCTCATCATTGATTTCTTGGGATCTGAGATCTGGTTAGCAAGTGTTTTAGCTCTGATGGCAATAAACCAGAAAACCAGTTTTTCCTTGTTTTTTTTAAATATATATGGATGTTTATAATAAATGTGACTTAACATCTTGTGTCCAGCTTGTTTTTTCCAGGAAATGTTTTTTATTACACATGTAAAAGGGGCTGTAACTCAGTGGTTGAGTCTCTGCTTTGCATTAAGAAGCTCCCAGGGTCTTCCAGGACTGCATAGATGATATAAAGAATCTCTTCCTGAGACCTTGGACAGCTGCTGCCAGTAAGAGTAGGCAGTGCTCACTTTCAGGTGGGGAGCCATCTTGGTCTGAAGCAATAGAACAAAGTTTGAATCCAGTGGCAGCACCCACCCACCCACCCTCTAGCTGAGCTCATTTAGGTTAGAAAAGTTCTTTTTACAGGCTTTTTACAGACTTGCAGTTCTTTTTACAGGGGGGTCTGCTGTGCTTACCCCAGATGGCTGCTGTGAACAAAAAGGGGGGAGGGGGACGGAATCCAACTTTGCAGTCCAACTTTGCAAACAGAAGGTTGCGATCCTGTGTGCGCTTTCTGGGAAGCAAGCCCCATTTCAGGAGGAGGGAATGTCTGGCTCAAGCGGCACAGGATTGGGCTCCACGGTTTGGCGAGCCTGGCCGCGTTTGCTCGGGGAGGAACTCCTTGAGTTCTAAGTAGATACTTGCATCGGCTTCAGTTGCACATCACTTACCCTTTCTCTGTGCCCTCCCCGTCTTTCTTCTGGAGTTTTCAGTACTATAGCCTGGCCTGTAGTTGTGGTACCACGGTTGCTGCTGGTCTTTCATGGCTTGAGAGGCTGAGAGCCCTGCCCCTTGGGTACAGACAGAAAAATGACAAATAGTTGCAGCCCCACAAGGAAAACATTTGCCCCACAAGCCACAAAATTCTGGCTATGGGCCTGAGTGCCACCTTTAAGACTGACAAAGTATAATTCTGGGCATAAGCTTTCATGTGCATGCACACTTCATCAGATGCATATGAAAGCATATACCCAGAATTAAACTTTGTTGGTCTTAAAGGTGCCACTGGACTCGGACTTTGTTCCAATGCTAACTTTGCTAGACCAATGATCTGGCCTGGTAGAAGGTAGTGCCATATATTCAAGTGTGCAATCTCGAATGCAATTATTTTCAGCCTTACTTCCTTTTATTCCCTTAGAAAGCTCATTGATTCATAAATCTTGAGCAGCGGAAAATACTTAGTCCTTATTTTTTGGACACAAGGGCTAAAGGGACTGAAATGTATTTTGTGATTGCTAAGGTAATCCTGATGCTGGGAAAGATTGAAGGTCAAAGTAGACGGGGACGGCAAAGGATGAGATGGTTAGACAGTGTCATAGATGCAACAAACATGAAGTTGAGCAAACTTCAGAGGACGGCAGAAGACCAGAAGGCCTGGCGTGATCTGGTCCATGGGGTCGCGAAGAGTCTGGCTCGACTGTGCGACTGAACAACAAGAAGGTAAATTTAGGATCTTTACCTCTAAGCAAAAGAACCAGGGTTTCTGGATGGTTAATTAAAGGCTTAATATAATTCCTTGTATTTTTGAAGAATCTAAATTTCAAGCAGGGTATGAAAGGATGTATGGATCTTATTAAGGCCACAAGGGCACATTCTGTTGGAATTGTGCCTGTTCAAAAATCTCCCCTGTAAAACCATTGTAAGTATAATATTCAATCTTGTGAACAAGAAAGCTTTGCAGTATCATGGGATGGGAAGATAGTACATCTTGCATCTATATCCGCAAAACGTGAATCCATAGAATAGTTGACCAGCCTGTCTAACTGTCGCAAGTGATGCTCCCTCTACGTTGTGGAGTCTTGTGAGCAAAAGTTCTACTGTGTGAGCTACAGGGCATTAAAGCTGTGAGTGAGCGATTTGGCTACTGCATAAATTTAGTTTGCTCTGGAGCCATCCTCCCTGAGCTAAAACAAAAATGTGTGAGCTGGCAGCTAAAAAACTGAGCTAGCTCACACTAACTCAGTTTAGAGGGAACAGTGGTCCCAAGATAACTTGGAGAAAAATCCTGAACAGGGCTACTCGGAACCCTACTCAGGTCCACTCAAGGGGACAATCCCAGTAAAGTGATCTTCAATCCCAGTAAAGTGATCTTAGGGTTAGAACTGTTACACTGCAGTCCTTAAGCAGAGTTACTCCACTGTAAGCCTGTGGATTTCAGTGTGTTTAGACTGGAGTATCTCCAAGTAGAATTGCACTGTGAATTGTTCAGCCAGAAGTCTACAAGAAACCACATGACACTCCTTAATATTCGTGATCACTTGGGGAAGATTCTTAACCCCTGGAAGAACAGGTCAATGGCTGTCTGTGACCCTGCTGTAGTCCATTAGATGAGTTGTAAACCTAGAATGGAGCTGCGGTGGCTCGAGTGGTTAAGACGCTGAACTGCAGGCTGTGGAAGGTCAGTAGTTCAGCAGTTCGAGACCCGAGTGTGCCACATGACGGAGTGAGCTCCTGTCTCTAGTTCCAGCTCCTGCCAACCTACCAATTCGAAAGCAAGAAATTGCAAGTAGATAAATAGGGACCACTTCGGTGGGAAGGTAACAGCGTTCCGTGCGCCTTGGTGTTTAGTCATGCCGGCCACATGACCACGGAAATGTCTTCGGACAGTGCTGGCTCTTCGGCTTGGAAACGGAGATGAGCACCGCAACCCTAGAGTCGGATTCGACTGGCTTTTGAGCAAGGGAACCTTTACCTTTTAAACCTAGAAAGCATACTCGGTGCTATGGTTACTGTCCAGATTGACACATCTGCCACTGCCAGTTCCCATTGTATGTGTCTTGAGGGAAAGGGGAGGGGGAAATGTTTGGTCATTTCTTCCTTCGCTGCTTAGGTGGCAGCCTAGGAGTGTTTCAGAGCCGGGAACTTCCAGAATGTGTGGTTACATGGTGGGTTGTATGCAGGTAACGGGTTCTGGATCCCAACATGCAATAGCGGAAGAGAGAAATTTCACTTAAGGGAATTCTGTCTGCTCAAGATATTGCACAAAAGCAACTTCCCCCCCAGTGTTGCTGTGTACAGAATTCAGAAGGCTATTTGATGCAGTTTTTACAGTCCAATTTGATGATACAATTTGACCAGATAGGGGCATTATATTCGGTGCTGAAATCTCTCTCGTGCAAGTGGAAATGCAAGGCTTGACTGAAGAAAACTGCAGCTGTTCAACTCATGATGATCACCATATCACTTAAGAACATCATAAGATCTCTGTTGGGTCAGACCAGAGTGAAACTGACCAGAAGGCTGGGCAACAGGAGCAGGCACAGCGGGATAGGGGTGGGGTCTGGCAGGGCTCACCTGTTGTGGGGCTCTGCCCCCAGGTGCCTCACCGTGGCTATGGGCCTGGCCAGAACTCCAGAAGCCCTCCCTCTGTTGCCCCCCAAGCACAAAGAATACAGAGCAACAGTGCCCCCAGACAGAGTGTTCCACCTATACCTTGTGTCTAATAGTCACCAATGGACCTCTGCTCCACATGTTTTTATCCAGTCCCCTTTTGAAGCTGTCTGTGCTTGTAGCTGCCACCACTTCCTGCGGCAGTGAATTCCATTGAATAGCTACAGCCCAACCTCGTGCACTTCTGTGGAAAAGGGTGTGTTAGGTGCCATCAGGTCACTTCAACTTATGGTGACTCTATGACTTAATGTCCTGTCATTTAACAGTCTTGCTCAGGTCCTGCGAACTGAAGAACATCAGAGTGAATCTGTCTCACAACAGGTCTTCCTCTTTTCCTACTGTCCCGGACTTTTCCTAGCATTATTGTCTTTTTTATTGAAGTCGTCTCCTAATGTGTACCAAGAGGCTGGGCTAAATCACTGGTAATTTCAATATATATATATATTTAAGTCTTTCTTCCCAATTGAGGTGCTAAGTGGCTCACAATTTTTTTAAAAAAATAGAATTTAATTAAATGGGGGGAACGCGGCAATACTCCCAAATCTTGGGTGGCCCTGTATCCACTGGCCTGACGCACTTTGACCCAGGGGTTAAAAGCCAAGGGCTGAGAGCTTCCACATGGCTTTGACCTTGCCTGGCATGGGCAGGTATAATAGCCAGAAGCTCAGCCCAGACTGTGTTCAGCTACTGTTCCCAACATTCCTCCCCTTCTACATATTGCTGTCCATGTACACTTTATAAGATGAAATGGTTCAGCCCCAGGGAATCTGTAGTCTGAAGCAACGAAGACCACAGAGAGCATTTGGGAGGCAAAGCACCTGCTGGCCTCCCTTCAAGGGTTAATGTGAATTGTAAGGGGCTGGCCCACCCTACAGGTGTTACTAATGGGTCTCTGGGCCTACACAGCCCTTTCAAGGGCAGAGATGGAAGTGTGGTAATTCTCATGCTCACCATATTGGGGGAGAGGAAGAACCAGGGGTGATGAGGCAATCTTCTAGAGGCTTCTCCTGAGAACATATTCTGATTGGACATTATCCTCACCTGACATTGCTGGGCTAAAATTCTATAACTGAGCTAAAGCCCTGAAGGAGAGACTAGCTTGGATTCTGATGGACTAAAGGCCTAGACTATGATTTCCTGGAACTGCAATTCGTAGCGATGTAGAGAATGCCTGAGCTATGGCCTTCTGCTTTTGGATTTAAGGTTTGTGCCATCTAACGTAAGTCTTGAAAGTAGAACAAGGTTTGAGTCAGGTGGCCCCTTTAAGACCAACAAAGTTTTATTCAAGGTGTGAGCTTTCGGTGTGTGTGCACACTTCCTCCACCTGGATAAGTCTTGAAAATGTTAGATAGCTCAGTTAGTTTTCTTGTTTTCCTCCTGCATGATTCTAGAATAATGTATTGGCTATAGAATGATTTATTTATATTGGGCAGAAATTGAAATGTTCTGATTATTTGTGTACAGCTGCCCTGGGGACCCATGGGGTTCAGCCTTGGACTCGCAAGAAATATATTCTGGAAGAGCTCCGTTTTCTAGTGGACAAACTAGTGGATGAACCTCTGTTTACTGTACATCTATCTCTCTATTTTTTCATACTGCCCTTCCCTCTAAAGGGCCAGAGCAATGTACATGGTGCTTTAGTCCTCAGTTTATCATCACAACAACCCTGTGAGCAATGCTCCCTCTAAGCTGTGGAGTCTTGTGAGCAAAAATTCTACTTTGTCAGCTACTGGCATTAAAGTTGCGAGTGAGCAATTTGGCTGCTGCATAAATGAGTTTGCTCTGGAGCCATCCTTCCCGAGCTAAGACAAAGATCTGTGAGCCAGAGGCAAAAAAGCTGTGCGCTAGCTCACACTAACTCAGCTCAGAGGGAACACTGCCTGTGAGGCAGGTTAGGCGGACAGCAACTGGCCGAAGGTCACCCAGGTAGCTCTCTGGTGGAAAGGGAATCTCAGTCCAAGACCCAAGCTCTAGCTTGAATACGGACTTTGTTTTAGCAAGGGCGGAGGAGGAGTCCTAGGGTCTGTGTGAAAGGCTTCAAGTAATGTGATTAACCTGAATGTACGCATGCATGGTTGTATTTGAGATCCCTGCTTGTCGCCAACATCTTCAGTCGAATAGTTATCTGCCAGAACAAGGGTTGCCAGCTCCCAGAGGGGCCTGGAGCCAGTGGGGTGTAGGGGTTACTAGTATCTGGGAGACCCAGGTCAGAATCCCCACTCATGCTATGGAAACTCTTTAGCCGACTTTGGGCCAGTCACACCCTCTCAGGCTAACCTACCTCTCAGGGTTGTTGTGAAGAGAGGAGGAGAGGGAAATAACATAAGCTGCTTTGGAGGGCTATAAATGAACACAATAATTCCAGCAGAAGAACAACTGCTCTCCAGGTTCCAGAGATCAATTCCCCTGGAGGAAACGAGGATTTGGAGGGGACTATTGTACACTGTACCATCCCGAGGTTCCTCCTTCTCCCCCCCCCCCCTACCCAGGCTACACCCACAAATCTCTAGGAATTGTCCAACTTGGAATGGGCATCCCCTAAACCCTGGACCCTTTGTAGCTCTCCCATTCAGGACAAGTCATCCGGGCTTCCCGTAGGGTTGCCAGCCTCCAGGTGGGGCCTGGAGATCTCCCGCTTATACAACTGATCTCCAGCTGGCAGAGATCAGCTCCCCTGGAGAAAATGGCTGCTTTGAAGGGTGGACTCTATGGCCTTGTACCATGCTGTAGCCCCTCCCCTCTCCAAACCCCGCCCTCTCCTGGATCCAGGTATTTTCCAACCCAGACCTGGCAACCCTAGTTTATCGGGACCAGAGATCTAATTCAATATACCGCACCATCCTATGTTACTGACTGAGGAACAAACCGCTGAGAATGAATGGGCAAGAGGACCATTTATTTATTTTATTAGATTTGTATCCCGCTGTTCCCGATCACGGCCGCACCTCCTCTGCCGGCCCCACGCCTCGTCGCACGCTCCGCAATTGTAGCGCATCGCCTTTCGTCTTCCCTTCACCCGCGCATCCCTTCTCTTTGATCTCCGCCTCTGCGCCTTCCTAATCAATGGGCTCCAAGCCCCGCCCCCTTCCCGCTTGCTCGTTAAAGCTGGGGCCGCGAAGCGAATTGGCCGTCCCTCCCTTGCCCCCCGCCTTTTCTCACTGAGAGCCAATAGGCGCGCCCTGTCGTTCGCCCGGGCAGCCAATCGCCAGCGAGAGAACGCCGGGGCCGTTGCGCGCGCGAGGCGGCGTTGCCAGGAGAAGTGGGCGTGGCGCCTTGGCTCGGCTCGGCCGCTGGGGTGTGAGTGTGTCCGTGAGGAGGCGGAGGAGGAAAGATGGCGGAGGAGGAGAAGCTCCCCGCGGGCTGGGAGAAGCGCATGAGCCGCAGCTCCGGTACCGCCGCGGGGGGAGACGGGGGTGGGTCCATCGGGGCCCCGGGGTCCGGGCGGGGGAGGAATGCGGACCTCTGCCCGGGGTTGCGGGGGAGACCCGGGGGTGGGGGTTGGGACACTGCGGGGCTTCACCAGGCCCTTCAGCCTAACGGGGAGGCGGCGGCCTTTGGGGAAACGGGCGCTTTGAGGGAAGGGTGTCGGGGTGGATTCGGGCCTGAAGGGCAGAGGACGAGGCGATGGGCCTCTTTATTCGTGGGGGGGGGGGGGGGGGCCGCGGGCGTGAGCGCG